TTTTTTTTTTTTGGAACCGGGACCGAACCGCGGCCCTTGCGGTTCGGTCCAACGGACCGGCCCGAATATGGCCGGTTACGGGCCGGTCCGGGACCGGTTCGCGGTCCGGGCCACGGGCCGGTTCGGCCCGTGGCCATGTCTACTTGGTAGCTAAAATGACATAGATAACCTTTTGTAGGTCAAGGGTTTTAGAAGCCAAATAAATATTAGGTTTGATTCATCCGATTTGTGAAGTTCAATGATTTTTAGGACAAAAGGTAGTTTTGAATATTTTTCTTCGAAGAAATTTATTGAAAACAGGTTACATTAAGTGACATTCCATAAGCTTGAGTACATCGAAAGAGTACAATCGTAGTTATGGAAAGATGTCGAGGTTAATGTATCAGTGGCATTACGATCGAAATTGTAGTGACTAATACCTTTTGAAAAATCATGGAAATACTTATTGGATGTTGAGATTTGGTCTCAACGGGTTGCACCTAGTTCATCAAAACAGGACGATGTAACTTGATGAAGGAAAATGTCTTTTAAGCAGATCGGTTATATCAATAATGAGTTATTAGGAATTTTATTTTTCATATTGGAGTTGTGCAAATAGCATGGTAAGTTCTGAACATAGTTCCATCTAAGTTAGTAGTCATTACTCTAAATGAATTGTGGACGAAGGCATAGGCCTAGTCAGGAACGTATTCAAATTCAGAGCGTTTCGGCACACGTGCTGGAAAGATGATACTAATAGGAATGAAAAGGTTGTTCGGAAAATAGGTTGTTTGTGGGATACTTCATAGTAACGAGAAATGAGTGGATTATTATAGTACTCAAAGTCAGAAGGTGATCGTTAGCACGAATGCTTGATTTTTAGAGAAATACTAAGTAATAAACCACAAAAACCATTTGTAGAATTGTTTTAAGGAAAGATAAAGGTGACAGTTCAACTTTGTTACCAAGTGTACAAACGTGATACCACAATAAAAACTGCAACACGTATTTTGTGCTAAACACCTTAAAAAGGGAACCTCATTATAGTGGTAGGGTTGCAAAGCAACTCCATAAAATCGTGATAATGAGAGAGTCGTTGGACTCATTCTCTATTAAACACGAGATCATGATATTCATGTTTTTGAGAAAGTCTCGGACTTAGTCTCTAGTAAACTTGAATATATCCCTAGTTATACAATGAGTAGATCCAAGACAAGGATGTAGAAACTTAGCAAAGTTTTAATGATTTCCGATTTGGAGTCATGGACTCTAATCAGATCTGAATTCTTATAGAATTACCAAGTAGCATACGGGCTATTGGACAAAATCTATAAATGAAGACTTTGTACAAGGCTTGTTGTGAAATAGCAGACTCAGAAAGAATGAGATCTATTATGAGGTAGCTTTTTCACTGGTGGCCGTGTTTAAGTCTGTACAAATGCAAGGCTTGTTGTGAAATAGTTGACTCAGAAAGAATGAGATCTATTATGAGTTAGCTTTTTCACCAGTAGCCAAATTTAAAGTTGTTGCCACTCATATCAGTTATGAGTGGATGTTAAGACATTTTCCTTAATCGAGAGTCTTGTAGGAATATCCATGTAGCATCACCCAAAAGGGTTCATTGAAAAGGGCTAAGAGCATCTAGTTAGTAGACTAAGACGGTTCATTTATGGATTGTGGTTAGCTGGTAATTTGGTTGATAAGTTCGAATCGTGAATTTGATTATTCACCAAATGAGCATTGTGTGTGGCGCAATGGAAGCGTGGTGGTATTTTGTACTGTGTGTAGACAACATCTTGATCACTGGAGACAGTGTGAGAATGTTGACAGACACAAGGATATGGTTATCCAAGTAGTTAAGATATGAAGGATTCGGAATCATCACATGCTCTTGAGATCAAGGATCAAGCGGCGTTCTAGAAAATAACCTCGGGCTATTACCTTTTTGAGATTTTATATGGATAAACCTCCAATTTTAATTAGCCGTCGGATTTAATGGGTTAATTTGAGTCGTTCGATCTGTTTGTTTTGTAAATTGGGCATGAATATGTTACTATGATGGGGCTTTATACTAGGCCTACATTTTGGGCTAATAATAATTGACGTATTAATGGAATTAATGTTTTAAAAAGTAGGCCCATCCAGTTAATTTACTCAAATTTTAGGACTGATTCATTTTATGTCTTAGTAATGATAAATGCGATTTAGTTAAAATATTCTACTTAAAATTTTAATTCATGATAATATTATATATATAATTATTACTTAAATACAAAAAAAATTTATATTATATTTATTTTTTAAATATAAACATTGAACTTATTTTCACTTTTTTTAGTTAAACGCGCTACATTACAAATCATAGAAGTAATGTTACCATGACGCAATTAGATTCTATGTTGGATATTGTTCAACGTTCACTGTTTGGGGACATAACAAGTGGTAGTTATGTATATTTTTTGTTATTGCTAACATTTTATCATGTGTTTGTAGAATTTAACATTTTATTATTTGCAATTTATATACAATATTTATTAGTGGACTCTCATATCCAAATATAGTTGCAAACGATAAGCGAATCCCAAGTAAGTCATATTCAAAAGAATGCATTACCATAGCGAGTAATATATTCATGCATTATACAAGTTTTCTGTTAACTTGCGAGATTGCTATTGAAATGGACTAATTCAATTGTAACTATATTTATTCATTAAATGTAGGATCACCCAATATTATACATCTTGATGCTCACACTCTGTCTTCTATGTTTCATCGTCCAACAAATATGTCGTTGAGTTGTATAACTAACAGTACATTTAGTTAGGCATTTATTAATTTTCGACATGGTTCAGATCTATCATTTATTAGATTTTACAGCGTGACAAAATCCAAAAATAAACTTACTCAATATTAATTGATATTATTAAATAAATTAATATAGGTAAATTGTATTATATATTGGTTCTACATTTTAACTAGTTTTTGTCCCGTGCATTTGCACGGAAAACTATATAATACATGAAAAAATAATAAAAATTATAAACAATAGTAAAAAATCATAACAAAATCATTGAAAAAAATTAAGAAAAAAAATATAAATATTCTTAAACACTTCTTTATAAAACAACGTCGTGGTTTTTCTATCGTCAAAATCTCTCTCAGCTCAAATAAAAATCTTCAAACCCCACTGATTCGTAACTCTAAAAAGCGTCACGTATAATTGCTCATGACTAAATGCTGAGCTCTTCAGTAGTAAGCTGACGTGCGACAGAGACTCTCTTTGACTCTTACTGATCATGTCATAGCATATGAAACACTTCTTTATATTGTTTGTCCTTGACTTTTATTGATTGATAGAGATTGTCCTTGCTTCTTAATAAAAAAATACCATCTAAATATAAATGAGTAAATATAATATTAATTTTTTATATAAACAAAAAATTTAAAGATATGTAATAGATCTGTAAATATATGTATTTTTTTGAGGTTTTTTTTTTATAAAAAAAAAACTCGTATCATGAGCTTTCCATTAGGGTTAGCTTCCAATGGACTGGAACCGCCCGCATCGTGATTTTAAGAGGCCGATTAAGGCCCTTTTGTTATATTTAATCACAGTCAGAATTTTTTTTACGTATGTTTAATTTTTTTTTCGTGGATTCAAGTTATTTCAACGATGTTCTTTTTATATATCTAAGATTTTTTTTTTCCTGATTTATATGAATATAAGCACATTTAAGTAATTTTTATAAAATTTATTGAAAAAAGTGATATTTTTTTAAAAAACTGATAAGATATTACGATAATACTGTACTTAACATAAATGTGGGATTAATTAAAATAAATCTTTTTAATTTAGTCATTAACTAATTAAATTTAACTATAATAAACCTTCTTAAATGTGAGATTAATGAGTAATTAATTAAAAAAATGTAACTCCTTTTGGAGGGAAAGTGAAAATATTTTTATTAAATGTTTTATTAAATGCTATTAGCTAGCAATTATATATATATAGATTTATAAATATTATTTAATGAGCATTGTAATTTACAAATATTAATTAGTATCTTTTACGTGAATCGGGATTCCTACTAGTTAAAACAAAAGGAAAATGACCTATCTGCTGGCTAAGGTTGCGGGAAGAGAATATAAAGGAGCTACATAAACAAGCTTCCGGCGACTAATCTCGACTGCATTTTCTACACGACAAGGGGTTCGAAAAAAAATCTCAAAAAATATAAAAATTAAATTTTAGAGTTTTCGAAAACTATTAAAATTTGGGTTTTGCCTCGAAAAACGAAATGACATAACCATATATTCGAACGATAATACGAAGACGACTCAGCAAATAATAACGAGACTCTAAATCACATGAGATTAAATACAGCAACAAGGCTCGATTATTACACGATTTCAAAGATCAATCCAATATCTCCAATATCCAAAGATCAATCCTCATTGTCATAGTTGTGCTGGTGGAGAAAGCTAAATAACAAATTGTCTTTCCCTTGGAGCTGTAATGTAGTTGCATATGATTTGTATTCTCTTGTGGACTCCTTTGTTTCTTGAGCTTTTTTGTTCATTTATGTTGAGTGTGTTTTCTAGTGCTTGTTTAGCCAAAGGAACTTGTAAGGGCAAATAGTGTGTTATTGACCCCGTTAGATCTAACCTAGACTTGTAGAGTTAGGTTGGATTCTGAACTTGTGATCATTTGGTGAACGGATTCGTACTCAAGTTTGAGTTGATGAATGTTAGAAAAAAATAAATATAGAAGGAAGGTAGAGACTGGAAATAAACTTAATTCATCAAAGTTCAATGTTTCGCTACTAAGGCAAAAAAAATAGTAAATCATTGGATTAATTTGCTTCCGGTTTACATCCAACACAGATATAAAATAAAATTCAGATTGAATTATTATCAATAGCTGTCTGGACAGCTGATATAGTGTCAAAGATTTCAATCCAGTAGCCATCAGGATCCTGGATAAATGCTACGCTGTCCCTATTACCTGAAAAATGACAAACAAGAGAAAGATTGGTAATTATATTGCATTGCGAAGGATTTGGTATACGGATTATAAGTGATTAAAGGATGTAAAGTTTACCACTGCGAATTCTCTGTACAAACTGCACTCCCAAACTTTCGAACCTATTGATTGCTTTTTGCACGTGACCCACGTTTATGCCTATGTGCCCTGCATAACAGATCATATATATCACATGTTCAAGTCTTGCAAACATGTATATTAAATGAAAGGTCATGAAATAACATCCCTTCATATTATAGATTTCATTTATACCCCAAATATCCAGAGAGAGACAAGTATGAGGTGAAAGAAATAAAATAAGACTTTTACATACCATAACCAAGTGGTTCTGTGTTTCCATTGTGATAACCTGTGAAATTACGGTCTGTTTCTGTGCCCCACATGCTGTCACAAATAATGCCGATTAAAATTCATGATATATTTTTTTTTTTTTCTCACTACGTTAAATTTTTTTCCGTACACAAAAAAAAAAAGTTAAATAGCTCTTACTGTGTAAGCTCAATTACACCTCTCTGACTGAAAGCCCAAGCCGTACGCCTAAGGGGATCAATTGGGGCCCTTGATGTGTCCTAAGGTGCCACGGGTAACAACAATTTTACACAAACATTATATAGGTTAGATTAGTTATAAATTTTAAAAATAGCTAGCTATTCCTTTTTTTATTATTATTAGTCGATCGGCAACTTAAGGGCACGTCTTTTGTTTAATATATCGCGTGTAATATTTGTAACATATCACCTCGTATCCCATATAGTAATTGCTTATCCGCAGATCTGCGAAATCGAGCCTTTTAAGCAACCTGCAGTGGCCAAAATATAGCTTTTATACATCTATATATCTAAAGAATGTTACAAGTACGATCTGATTATTAAATTTCCAAATAAATAGTAGAAATGAATAATATGAAACGTAGCCTTTGTTAGTTGTTCCGAAAGAGAACAACTTATGAAGATCACTTACGACATGCCCATAATCCTAGAGTAGAAATCGAGACTCACTCTTGGGTCCTTTATCCGAACCATCTGAAATTAATTACCACAAACGAACAAATATCTCAAAAATAATTAACAACTAAGTTTTTATACTAACATGTCTTGAAACATTAGAAATTAAGCTCACAGTATGATGCAAGAAATAGCTTTTAGTAGCTCTGTCGACAAAAGTTTGGAGTCCAGGGTTGTTTTTGGCAGATTCTTTGGACGATTGTGCCATGGCACTAGTTAATAATGTCGACCCAAACAATAATACACAAACTAATATTATAAACGACCGCATATTTTCTTATTCAAGAATAATATATATGGTGTTTATATGATTTATATATTTTTCTTACAGGGAGGTGATTAAGTATCACAAGGATGATTTTAAACGCTTGGAGGTGGCAAAAAGAAGGTTTAAATTTTTTCAACGTTGGATGATATTAAAGCTTTGTAAATGTGTGCGTATTTATACTAGCAAAAATTGGCAATTGCACTGTTGTTAATGGCCTGACTTTTACCGGTTCCCGTAGGAAAAAATGAAATTGGTCAACTAATATGACACGCTCGGGCGCTCATGATCGGTGACTCCTTTGTATTCATTCAAACAAAAAACCATTCTTATATATATAATGAAATTTCAACACTTGTATAAATATAAAAATTCTTAAAATACAACAACCTGTTGTAATAATATGCATATTTTCTGAAATATATGTTCATATATTATTATATGTTCTATTGTAGCTATTTTATTGTTTAATAGAAAAATTAATATAAGTAAATATAATTAGTAGCTGGATGAAAAGGTCACAATTTTTTATTTCTTTGGTCTACGAACTTCATCAGTTTTCAAAAATGCTCCACAATATATTTGACTTTCATAATATTTAGTTTATTATAAGTTGTTCAATTTATTAAATAGGATTTAAATTATGGACACCTTTGATGTTGGCGACCAGTTTTCAAAAATGCTCCACTATAGATTTGACTACTATTAACGGAGTTGTTCAATTGATTAAATATCATTTAACTTATGGGCTTGTAGCAAATTAATACAAAATTGGTGGATTAAACCTTATTCAGAGGTTTCACACCATTTATATCCAATAATGAGGACTTATTTTATTAATTTTTTAACTTATGGGCTTGAAGTAAATTAATACAAAATTGGTGGATTAAAACCTTATTAAGAGGTTTCACCATTTATATCCAATACCGAGGAAAGACCTTGTACGGTTAGTTTTTTAACCCCAAAACGCAATCCTGAAAAAACGCAATATACGTGTTCAGAAATGATTTATAAAAGGTATAATAGCGGAAAAATACACGACCTTTACTTGATTGGTCATTTAATCACGACTTCCAAAACTTGGCAAATAAATACATGACTTTTACATTCTTGGCAACTCGATACACGGATTTAACGTCCGTCAACGGAAAACTGACGTGACAATTTTTTTTAATGGCGACGTCGAGAAGTCTGACTTAGCAAACAGAAGCCAAATCATCAGTTAAAGCTTGGCAGTTTAATACACCACCTTTGGTTTTTTGGCAACTCGATACAAGAACTTAACATTTTTTGGCAAAAAGCTGACACATCAGAATTTTATTTTATTTTTTATTTAAATTCATTAAATTTACTGTTATTATTTTTATTTATTTTAATTGTACTTTTACTATTGAAATTATATTTATAATTTAAATATATAGTGATTACAAACAAAAAATAAATAAAAAAATATATTATTTTATTTAATTTTTAATTATATTTTATTTTATTCTAGTTTATTAATTTTTAATATTTAAATGTATTCAGTATTTAATTAATATATAATAAAATAAATTAATATTAATATAGTTAATAATGAATAATAAATAATAGAACATATATATAGAATTCAATAAAACATATAATTAAAATCTAATATATTTATTTATTTAGATAAATAATATTACATTATTTATATTATATGT